GAACGAGTAGAGTAACACACTTAAGTTGGAGTCGTATCCACCGTTGATTTTGAGGATGATCAAAGGTTGAGATTGTATATGGTCACGGTCGATGAATGATTGGACAAGAACGAATGAATGATAGGGACGTGCAGCGCACGCGATAATTCCGGGCGCTATTTCTTTAATTTTTCGTTTTTAATTTATTTTTTTGATAGAAATAGAAGTAGAAGCAGAAGCAGAACAACAGTGCATTGGTTCACGTGAATGACTCTGACTTTGGATGATGACACTTGACAGCTCTTGCCTTTTTTGAGTCTTAGTATTTAAAATAGTAATAATCCAATACAAATTTTAATAAAAAGGATAATATATACTCCTTCAGTCCCAAAGAAGTGTCTTAATCGAGAGTTACACGAGAATTAAAAAATAATTGTATTTAATTAAAAGTAGGTATAAAATAGAATATAAATGACTAAAATGTCCTTACTTTTTGAAAGATTTTAAAGAGTATGTTAGAGTAATAATTAGGGATAGTATGGAAAAATAGAAATAATTTTGTTATAAAATGGGAACCACAACTACTAAATAAGAAATCAAGACAATTGTTTTGAAACGGACGAAAATGAAAAAACAAGACAAATCTTTTGGGACGGAGGGATGTTTGAGTTATTTTCAAACTAGAAATAATCCATCTTTGTTTCTTAAAAAATAGTAATAAATAATTTTTTTTCTATATATTTTTTTTAAAAATTCCTTTCTATTTAATAAAAATTATAGTATTAGTTTTCTTTTTATATTTTTACTATAAAAAATAAAAAAAAATTAAAATTCGTACTACAAAATACAAGTGCAATTTTTTAGAGATGAATAAGGTGCCTATTTAGTCTGTGCAATTTCTGTTTCATTTCATATAACATCAAATAAAAATATTAATTAAAATAATTATTCAAATTAAAAAATTCAATTTTAAATTCAAATCAAACAAATTCAATATATATATTTAAAAAGTACTTATTCGATCCTATAATAATTGATATTTTTTATTTTAATTTATCTTATAACAAAGAGTTGACACATTTTTATTTTTAATAAATATATTAATATTAAATATATTTAATACATATAAATCACTTTAATTAAAAATTTCAACTCCCTTCGTACAGCTAGAAAGTATAATTAAATACAAAGTCAACATTTAATTAAATACCTTAGTTTTTTTCCTCAAATACATTTATTCTATATCACATCATATTTTTACACAACAAAACAAGGGCAAAAATGTAATCTCGCTACTTTTAACTATCCACTGTAATTAAAATACTACCTCCGTCATTCAAATATTTGTCATCGAAAAATATTCTCATTTCTTTTTTAAGTAAAAAATCATTTCATTTTTGTACTATTTTTTACTATAAAAGGAAAAATTAACAATTATTACTCACTTTCATTAAAACTCGTATCCGGTCAAATGAGCACAGATTTGCATGACAGAAGAAGTATTATTTCTTAAATACCGCGCTAAAAATAAACGTGTACTTTGTGTGTGGACGGATGGAATATATTTTATTCAATTGTATTGTATACAAAATAATATTTATATTATATATATTCTATTGAGATAATAATATTTAAAATATTTAAATATATATTTTAAAATTTTTTAATTATTTTTTTTTAATTTTTTAGTTTAAAAATATCAAATATCACCACTCACATGAAAATAATAAAAATAATACCACAATATACTATCATTATCCTACTAAACTACGTACTACCTCCGTCCACCGCCAATCTATCTATTTACTTTTTGCATATTAATTTTTAAAAATTAATTATTATATCAAAATATAGTACAAATTAAGAAAAAATGACAAAAATACTTCTATTGATGTCTTATAATACTAATGAAATAAAATATGTACAAACAATTATACAAATATAAGGATATTTTTATTGTTAAAAACAATGATGTAAAATGTTAATGGATAAATTGGTGGTGGACGGAGATACTATTTCTTTAAATGCCATATTGCTATAATAGTATAATATTAAGAAAATATTTTATTATTTCGAACTATTAATTTTAGGTTGTGTTTGTTTTGTGAAATGATTTGAACAATTTTTTTTATATATATATATAAAATATAAAAAATTATATAAATAATATAAAAATAATATAATATATAAATATTTTTAGAAAAATGTGTTTTTTTGGGAAAAAAAAAACACACGCACCCTTACTCTTCATTCTAATTGAATATATCTTTTATTAGTAAAAATATATAAAATAATTGACATTTTTATATTTGTAATTAAAAAAATCAATATTTTGATAATTATAAATAAATTTATTTTTATTATTATAAAAAACAAAATATTTTTGAATAAAACAAGAATAATAAAAGATACATTAAATTTGGACAAAATTAGTATAGTTATTCAATATATTTTTTTTATAAAAAAAATTATTTTAACTTTTACATATTTATATTTAATCTATTAACAACTTTATCTAAATAGTTTCATTTTCTCTTTATAATTGTTTCCTTTAAATAATCAATTTTCATTCGTAGTTTATTATGATTCTTATCTAACTACCAATTTATTACATCTATTTATTAAAATATTATCATGTCTAATTATTGACTTTTCCATCTTATAGAATTTAGATGGACCAAATATCGAGAAACAAAAATATAAATATAACTTTTTATAAAAATTAGTAAGAATATTACTAGTATTATATAAAAATGAAGATAAATAAAGACAAGATATAAGAATATAACTTTTCTTTGTGGATTTGAATTTCTAAACAGTAAAAAGTTAAATTCCATGGTTGTTTGAAGTGATACAAATAAATGTTGATACAATATCTTGAATGAAAAATAAATTTGTAATATAATACTCCCTTCGTCCCACATATTATGTCTAACTATGTCACCTTTTTTTTTTTGAAAAATAATTATACATTTTAATCTCATTTTAAATTTTTAAATTTTATTTTTTTAAAATTTTAATTAAACTAATTAATTATCTTAATCTTAATTTATAATTATTTATATTATAGAATAATTAATTTTACTAATACATTTTTAATTATCTCCTAATTATACATACACTGTACGTGGAACGGAGGAAGTATAAAATAAAAAAAAATTATTATTTGATTTGATAATTTTGAAAGATAAAATGAATTTGAATAGAAAAAATATATGATAAAATTCACAAAAAAAACCATAAGGGTTTGTTCCTTTTGTATGTTGGTCTAAGGGAATTTATTTTATTTTATTTTTATTTTTTGTGTAAAGTATAGAAAAATATATATATAATATAAACATAATGAATATATACACTATACTTCCACCATTTCAAATATTTTGTCCGCTTTACTGTAGACATATGAATTTAGGAGAAATATAAATAGTAAACAAAAAAAATGTAGTAGTTCATATAATAAAAATAATTATAAATTAAGATTAAAATAAATTATTAATATAATTAAAATTTAAAAAATTATAAATTAAATTTTTTAAAATAAGATTAAATTATATAACTTTTTTTTTCAAAAAATGAAAGTAACAAAACAAACGAACGAAAAAAAATAAAAATATAGGCATGAGAAATGATACTGATGGAGTATTAATTTTTATTTGAAAAAATTTGTAGAATATTTTATCCTAAAAGAAGAGAGAGTTGGCAAGAGATTTCTGTTCAATGAAAAGGAAATAAATTAATTAAAAAAAAGGGTCGATTAATGGGGAGAGAATGAAAGATGTGAATCACATCACAAAGTTGACACAAAGATTGAAGTAGTACGTACCAGCGAAGCGATTGAGTGAGGCGAAATCAAATTGCCAAATGACAATCAGTGAGTGTCTGCGGTTAGTGAAACACACTTCTTGTCAATCATATGAGTTGATATGATATGAATGTGATAGCAGCCAGCCAGCCCAGCCCAGCCCAGATTTCTGTGCAATCAACAAAGCGCACCGCGATTTTAAAGCACATTTTACTAAAACTAAAAGTCGCATTTCTACAAAACTACGTCACCAATTAAAAGCAGCTTCCACAAATTCAATTCACACAGTCCTCCCACTACTTGGAGAATAAGAGAATTCAAAATTACCATCCCGTGAAAGTGAGACAGACAGACAGACAGACCCTTTAAGAGAGAGAGAGAGAGAGAGAGAAGGAATAACAAGAGGAGGAAGAAGAAGGGACCCACGCAAGGTGTGGTCATTAATAAATAAAGGCTTTAATGGTGGAAGCATGCATTCATCTTTCAAATCCTAGGAAAAGCAGCAACAGTGTTGTATCATGTGCCAAGGAAAAGAAAAGCAAAAAAGGGTTATTGCTGCAACAAACTTACTGACAGCCAGGCCAGCCATTGTTGCCCGGACTGTGTGTGGTCCAGGATTCAGTTGCAACGCAGTCGTGTCGCTCGCTAATGCAATGCAGCACAGCACAGCACCTGAGAGGGAAGCAGACTGCAAACATAACAATAACAACAAAAAGAAAACACCACCAGACCTTGGATATAATCAATCCACTACTCTTCTTCAAATCAAAGTTATAAGATGGTTTAGAAAAGGAAAAAGAAAAATTTAATTTCATATTGATGTTATATATCACTTCATTTGAACGACGATGCTGCTTGCCAGCATCAATAATGTAAAAGGAAGGCTCTCTGCTCAACCCTGTATGTTGGAAAACCAAAATCTGTAGTCATCGAATGCTTTAAATTTTTCGGCGTCTGATGTAGTCGCATGCAACCCGGGAATTGATTGATCAAATTCTTACAAGTTCAGATCACCAGCTGCATTCATAGTTTGCTGCACAATATGAGATATATATTAAGTAATGTTGATGCATATGCTTAAGTATTGACACAACAAATGTAATTTGACTTAATCCTGAAGAACATCAATATGACATCTTAAGAACTTGGTCGGGAGATTGAAGACGGCTCCAATTGATCAAACTTGTTTGGGAAGACATTAAACTATATACGTAGTAAGTGGAGAAAAATCTTTACTCATTATGGAAACTGTGGCTCAAATGAAAAGGTTTCTTTGCACATCAGTTGCGTTCTTCAACCACCCACAGTATAAACAAGTTGCCCCAACTACTGATAGAAGAGATAGCATTGCCAGATAACCAAAATGGGACACATCATTTGCAATTATTGCAATTCCAAGCATAACCGACTCTGCCAAACTAGCAAATGAAACCTCAGTTGTTCCTATAAGATTTGCTTTAGCTGCAGGAATTCCAGCTTGCAGAATCTGCGCCCCTACAACGTCATACGACATATGCCCCAATCTGGACAAAATCTACAAGAATGTGCACAGAAGAAATTAGAATGTTTCAACACCAAGGTCAAAATGCAGATAAAAGTTTATATGTCATGACTTTGCAGTAAAATAAATCTGCAAGCCTTGGAGACAAACAATCATTAAATGCCTCACGGGCATCTACAAGAGTACTTAATTATAAACATGTACGAGGACAAAAGCTGTTCATAGAAAGCTTTGAATAGGCTTGTAGAACTAAGTGTTACAGTGGTATCAAGTTTCCATTGTTGATGACAACAATATCAGTACCTATAACTAATACCTCCAACTTTTACTTAGAATTTGATACATAAATAAACTTAATTACTGGAGGAAGTCAAAGGAAAGCCTCATGATTTGATTAATGCTGATTTGCAGCACTAGTGAATTATAATCCAATGAGCTTTGAAGAAAAGTTGCTTAGACTCATCAAGGTGACCTAATCTCTAAGAAATGCATGAGATAATGAGTACCATTGTGCAATTCTGAAATACAATACACTGTTGACAGAGCATTAAACGAAGAATGAATCTACAATTATAAGCAATTAATCTGTCAGAGGCTATGATTGCAATCAATGTGACAGGATCCAATTTGTATACAAGAAAGACGGTAATTCTTGATGTAGAAAAAAATTAGTAAAGTAAATTCATAAGTAAACAAGGTAGAGTAAAATTCTAGCACTCAAAATAATAAGCACCGGTCAACAAGCAAAAAATGTTTAACTGCAGTATGGCCAGATTACAAAAAATTCATAAACATGTTGGAATTAAGAGAAAACATTGTATGTATTAAATCAGATGTTAGCTATTCAGTGACAAAAGATATTAACTTATTGATTAGAAAAATGAACTCACAATTGAACACAAAAAGAATACAAGAGGAATCTTGTGTGAGAGAGAACAACTCCAATACACAGCAACTGCAATTGTTAGAAGTGAAGCTTGGAATATCAGACCAGCTGCCCCTGCCTGGCACAATAATTATTGGATTGTATAAAACATTGTACTAATAACTGAAGCTCAATAGGAAGTAAAGCTAAAACTGAACCATAGAAGGCAAAAACCTTAAGCACACCAAAATGCTTGACCATTCTTGCAGATACAAATGTAGCTGCAACACCCATAAAGGCACATAATCCACTGAAGGCCCCAATAATTGACGGATTAAGACCTGAAACGATTTCAATAATATCAATCCGAAGATTGTTTATTATAAGAAGGAAATGCAACTGTGTTCCTGAACTGAGGTGTCTTACAAGAAAATAACAAAAAGGATTAAAACATGCAGATAATATAGTTTTAAATTGGTTGGTTTCGCAATCTCTCACTAAAACCAAAACCTTGGAAGCAGCAAAGAGATATCAACAAGTACCATAACGCAACCAAAAAAAAAAGAAGCAAATACCCTAAGGCATCCATAACAGATTTCTTCATACCCCACTGTTCATATTCTTATCATGCTAACCAAAAAGTTCTTACCAGAGTTAGAAGTATAACTAGGCTATCTACATATTAACATAACACACAACCTTAAAGAGTACATCATTCACTGTTTTTCACAAGTGTGTAAAGTTAACAGCTAAAGAATCATTCCAATATGTACACTACTATTTGTAGTCTAATAGAAAAAATGACTGGCCTTGAAATGCATTTAGACCTAGATTAACAGGAGAATATTGCAAGCACTTTCACTGTCTTTTTCATCACACTAGCACCTACAGGCAGTGCAAATCTAGAAGAAAATCTTTGGCCTTCAGAACAGACAGTATAAGATTAAAATTTTCATGCAAACCAAATCTAAAGAAACAAAAAATTCGAGTTATCTAATGAGGAAAGCTATTATTTACAGTCAAGTGATCTCGAAGGCCCATCGTCCATGGCCACCTAAGCCTGAACCCGTCAGGGAATTTAAGTTTGTCTTACTTCAGCCTTGTAGTGGATGTAATGTCATTAGGTTACATTTCCTATTATTATCTAAGTGTGAGTTATTATTCCTTCTTTTTTTCTTTTTTGAGAATTAAGTCCCTAAAGCCTATCTAGGTGACAATTAGGCTTAGAGACTCATTTACGTCATTATTTACTGGGTTTTCACTGCAACAGCTGGGACAGGAGCAGTGATCTGCTTTAGGGTTATTACTCATAATTAATAAATTTTAGTTCAAGATCAACATAGCATGTCTTGGAAAATGAAAAGTATTGCTTGAGCCCATATAAAGCAAAAATACCATGCTGCGTTAAGAAAGCAGTCATCAAACCGCCAGGAGCAAGAACAACGTTGAAGTAGAGTAACACACAAGCAAGGCTTGCCGGCAAAACAGGCTGTCGGACATACTCTAACCATCCATGCTTGATAGCTTCTATAGCAGTAGCCACTGTACAAAACAAAAGAGGAATAAGGTCATAGAATAAGAAGAAATTCCTCAGCCGAAAGTAACAAGCATGAGTTAAATTTACATTTATTTGCAGTATCAGGAATCGATCCTACAGAAGTACACCGCGAATCAGTTGGTGAACATTTAGCACGGTCCAGTACTCCAGCAGATAGCTTATTGGTTAACCATGTTAGAAGAACCTGGGTTACAGTAAGCATTAAAAAATTTATTTCCATGTAACAGACAGAGAAATAAGCAACAGTAGTCATTACCACAACAGGCAGCGACCATATCATCAAGCCAGCAGCAAGTTTTAAGCATGTCACCGGTTCATATTTAGATAAGAAAATACCAAATAATGATGCTCCGACAATCTGCAGTGATAGAAGACCGTTAGAGTTTTATGTGCCAATATCTTATAGAAATGAAGGTATCAAGAAGTTTGAAAGCCTTTACAAACACATATAAACAACAAGTACAGTTATCTTACAAAGAGGTCACACATGAAAATTATTACCTCGCAGAGGAGATCAATCCGACTAATAATTGCATTAGCTTGAGCAAGAGCAATTGGTCTATTTGGCCCTGCCAACTGATAGTAAAAGTGTGAAAATCATCATGATATTAGAAGATTGTGAGAGAGAGAGAGAGAGAGAATAGATTACTACCAACACAACCCAATCACGCTCCATTGCAACTCCCAGAGCCAGGCCAGAGAGCCTTTCAACAGCCAGCGAAATAACAAGTACAGCAAACCACGGTTGGACATATACAGGAGACACATAATTGAGGTGCATTGTATGGGCATGAATCATCATTCCAACAGATGTAATCTGAGCAGCCACCTGATAAAGAGTAGACAATAAAAATAAACTATATATGATTTTTCCACAAGAGTTTCCAGTTTCCACATTGAGATTCAGAGCTTCAATGCTGCTTAATTGATAATACCTGGATCAAAGTCAAGCAACTATACGCCGGTACTCTTGGGAAACGATCCATAAGTATCCCCACTAAAGGGCCTCCAACAATTACAGCAAGCTGTTAACAGACATAGTTCAATCAGTTAATTCTATTTGATTCAGAATGCGAAAGGCATGTCACTAACACAAATTGATACCTTTGCACAAAAGCCCAATACAGCCACAGGAAGAAGACTAGGATTTATCAATGCAATGGCAGCAGGCCAAGCAAAATTCCAAAGCTGCTCAACCAAATTCCCAACCAAACAGCTAGCATACAAAGCTAATCATATATGAAAACATTCATTAGAATATAAAAAATAAATGAGATTGAGACATTGTATAAACTAAATAGCGACAGCATTTATAAGTTATATACTTATTTCAATCTTTTAATTGTCACATATTTAGGTGAATATCTTAATCATTAATGAGAGAAAAACATTGGATTAATGAGCCACAATGCTTGAAACCACATTAATATTTATGGAAATAATTGAAACTAGATAAAGAATAAATTGAGCAATGTTGAAATATATTTTAGATAGATTTTTCAGTTGATATTACTTAGATTTATTAGTTGTTATAAAATTATATCTACTAGATTATATTGTTATTATCTAGACATGTTACAACATTTAGTTATTATTTAACTTTATCCTTTTGTATAAGGTCTATAAATAGACCTTGATTTCATTATCAATATATCTCATAAATTTCTCTTATAATTTCTACATGGCATCAAAGCTTATTTTTCTCCTGGAATAGAGTTTTCTCCAAGTACATTCCGTAACGTATATCGTATTCCTAATTTTAGAAACACTTACCACCGAATATCATCATCATAAGAAACAATGCATCTGAGTTGTTACCAGCGGTCAAAGTTTGGTCAACATTGTCGTTCAACTCGGTCAACAATTTCGTTGCCACCGACTTTAGCTGCATATGCAAGTGCATTCGATGTCCAATTGCTAGAATTTTCGGGCGACAACATACTAAGATATTTTCAGCATATCTATCAAGTTTTCAGTTTTGATTAAGGCTTTTGGATGGTATTTAATTACTTGTCCGAAGTTTCTGCCTATTAGGGCTAATTTATCAGGGTTTAGCGTCGTCGCATCGACAGAGAATCACCGGTGCCGCTGCGACAGAGGATCGTGGCCATTATAAATCCTTATTTGTCAGTCACCCGGGTAAACAACCCTCATCCAAGAAGAATTGTGCTATGCGAAAACTTTAATTTATTAAAGTTTCCGCCATTGAAACAGGGATCGTTGGCGTGTGCCCACAACGGAGAATTGAATATAAACCTTAATTTGACCAAAATCCTTATTTCTTAAGGTTTAACATCCTCACCACGACAGAGAATCAATTTGAATGTTGATGTCCGTTTTTAAGTCCGTCTATATACAACCACCTTCTATTTCTTTTACCAAACTCAAGTTGGCTTCTACATCACCAACTTGAGTTTGAGACGGGGTGTTGAAATATATTTTAGATAGATATTTTTTCGTTGATATTATTTAAACTGTTATTTATCATATTATCATATCTACTAGATTATGTTGTCATTATCGAGATATACTACTTAGATGTGGTTGTTGTTATTTAGATTTATCATTTTGTATAAGATCTATAAATAGACATTAATTTCATTATCAATACATCTAGAAATTTCTCCTATAATTTCTACATGATATCAGAACCTATTTTTCTCCTGAAATAGACATTCTACTAAATCACATTTTCTCCGAGCACATCCGATAATATGTCCGGAGGACTTTCTTTCAAATTTGAGATCCACTACCACCGTCAGCGTATTCCTAATTGGAAAACACTTGCCACCAAATATCATCATTAGAAACAGTGCATATGAGTTAGTAGCGTCGGTCAACGCCGGGCAATGCGGTCAACAATTTTGTTTCCGCCGCTTTGGTTGCATGTGCAAGTGCATTCGGTGTTCAATTGCTAGAATCTTCTGGCGACAACATACTGAGATATTTACAACCTATTTGTCAAGGTTTCAAAGCTTTTGGTATGATATTTTATTATTTTTCCGGAGTTTCTACTTATTAGGGTTTAATTTCTTAGGGTTCAGCGTCGCTGCAGCGATAGAGAATCGCCGGTGACGCCGTGATAAAGGATTGTCGTCATTAGAAGCTCTACTTTGATGCCGCCGTAGCAACAGAGGATCATTGCCGCCGCCACCACGACAAAGGATCGTAGCTATTATAAAATTCTAATTTATCCAAAACTTTAATTTATTAAAGTTTCCTCCGTTGTGACAGAGAATCGTCGGTGCATGCCCGTGACAGATAATTGAATATAAACTTTAATTTGACCAAAATCCTAATTTTTTAGGGTTTACCGTCCCCACCACAATAGAGAATTAATTTGAATGTTGATGTCCAGTTGGCTTCTACATAACCAACTTGAGTTTGAGACATGGTGTTGAAATATATTTTAGATAGATATTTTAGTTGATATTACTTAGATTTGTTAGTTATCATATAATTATATCTACTACATTAGGTGGTTATTATCTAGATATGTTACTAGATTTGGGTTCTATTATTAAGCTTTATCTTTTTGTACAAGGTCTATATATAGACCTAATTTCATTATCAATATATCTCATACATTTCTCTTATAATTTCTACAAGCAATATATTGTCTTAACGGAGAGCTCATATAAGCTCCAAAAAGAAAAATAGGTTGAGCTACTTCTCTTTTTCAAGCTCATAATCTCAAAACGAGATGTTCTTTAATCTTATAAGCTTGATAACAAGATTAATAAGAACAATCAAATGGACTTACTGTTTGCCCAATAGCCCAAGATCCTTTGTTCCAAAATGAAGTTATGATCTTCCAAACTCTAATGACCCCTCTTTAAATACCCTACTGAATTACTTATTAAAAATAAAATAAGCCCACTCAAGACATAACCCATGGCAAAAGATAAGCCCACCTAAGATATAACAAAAGATTAGTAAATAAGACTAATTAAGATCTGAACTTGTGAACAACAAGCCTAAGCCCATCCTCATTCTCCATATACAAATAGTGGTCGAGGCACCTTTCCCCTTTATATTTTAACTTTGTGCTCTCCTCGCTCTTGCTCTCTATCAATTTATTTCCCCCTTCAGATCGACCTTATCCCCAAGGTTGAAAATCTGAGAAATGACGCTGGAAATTGGCTACACTCAGCCAAGTATAGTTATCGTTTGGTTGTCCCGTCCATTTAACCAAGATTAGATTTTCCTCTTGTTCGCCTACCCGCACCTTCTACCAGGCTAAAAAAATCAGACTAACTGACATCAAATCCATCGTTACAGGGTATTTTCCGGAATTGTCATCTTATTCAACTCCGTATAATCGATGTAGAAATGCCAGCAACTGTCAATTTTCACCAGCAAGACTAGCTAAGAAAAGGGCACGAGCTCGGATTAATGATTCTTGCCATTGAACATATCAAACACTAGTTTCTTAGTCTCGTCTTCTTGAGTATAGCTGTACTGATATGGCCAAACAGAAATTCGATTCATTCCTAGGGTAAGCTCAATGTTATGATTAATTAGCCTCCTCGGCAACATACGCTTAGTTCCTCAAAAACCTCAACATACTGCTGTAAAACAACCTCAAGCAGTCCTACATCCAATTCGGTGACTCTCACGGGCTCTCCCTCCTACACTTATGCCTAAATTTCAACATCACGAACGTAGCCCAACATCTTTAGGCTAACTGGGTTGCAATAGAGGGTTTGGTCATCCTAGAACAATCCTTCGGATTCCTGTCTCTGCCATCCCCTAACTGAATTCAAACCTTTTTATACGGCCGGATGGTAGTTGCAGAGTGGATAATAAATAAAAAAATATAAGGTTGTGACTAGTGACACTATCGTTTTATATTGTTATGGTCTTCCATCACGCAACTCCATGCAACCGCATAGTCGATGGGCTCAATAAGCCTGCCATGGAGAAAAACGGCAAGGTTCTATCCTCCATCAATGCATCTACTTGTTCTTGCATCCAATTTTCCTATCCGATTGGGGTTCATAATATTTGAATTGTTGGTCTAAGACCTTTTCTCCTTCTTCAACTACTATGTCCCGCAATTGTTCAAGGGGGCATTCAGACCTCAACAAAAACAGTCCTTTGGCTCGCAATTTAGTCAATTCTTGGAGTTAGAGGAGTTTATATCAAGCTCGGGCTATTGACCAACCAGTAGTCTCCAATTGCACCGCGGAAAGGTGACCTGAAGGCTTGGAAGAATTGCCGAAAGATCTATTTTGATTGCCCTATTCCTAGACCTGTTTTATGTTGTTTGGTCAAAGAATAAAGTTTGCGTGGTGTAGTGCTGCTAAAATTTTTCTATGGGTGTCTGTCACCCTACACCTGAAGATTATCCTCTATCTCTAGACAACTCCATGGTTGTCTATAGGTTCCCGAAACTAAGAAGGCAGAAAAAACTTCAAATCGAACCCTTTAAACATTCCACAAAGTACCCAGATAGTGCACATTCACCAAATCTGGAACTTGTCACGTAGTCATTCACTGAACCCATTTGTTTGGTATTTTCCAACCTTTCAAAAGAGTTTCCCTTAATACGCGTATCGAATCTAGCTCCAACACATGTGAAAATTATCCTATGTAAGTCTTGGTTTGCGAGAATGTACCCATGCTGACCTGTACAACACAACTTCCATTGCCATCACCGCCAAGTACTTTCATCTCTTGATGGTCTTATGGATTTCAAACTGTTGAATACCCGGGCCAACCAGCCAATCGAGTCCGAACCATTGAAGGATGGAAGCGATACGAGACCCATTAGTGATTGATGAGAGGTGAATGGTTGCAGCAACATTATGTCAATCTCCGATGTCGTGCTACCCTTCACGCAATGACCAGATGCCAATTCTTGCTATCTAGGGGTTTAAAAAATACTTTCAAAAGTTCGGCCAGTTGCCAAGATTTCTACCAATTAGGTGTTGTGTGCTTTCAGAATCTCTTTTATCTTGGCCTGATCAACCTCACATTTATATACAGTCGCTCTCTCTCGTTGATTGTGTTGTTGCCATGAAGACGGGTTCGGGATCCAATAGGTCAGACCAATTGATAAAAACAATCAAATAGAATCTAATCTTTGCCCAATAGCCTCTAGCTGCTTTATTCCAAAATAAAGTTATGATTTTCCAAACCATAATGACTCCTCTTTAAATACTCTACTAAACTTACTAAAAATATAATAAGCTCACTCAAAACATAACCCATAAGTCCATCACTAAAGATAAACCCATCTAAAATATAACAAAAGACTAGTAGAAAGGGCTAATGACAGCCTAAACTAGCGAATAGCAGGCCTAGATCTGTTCCCGTCGACCATATATAAGTAACGGCGAAAACTCCTTCCTTTTCTTATATCAACCAAAATCCAATAGGAAATGTACACTGTGAAGGCCTAAAAGTTTAGTCCTGCTCACAATTCAATTGAAGATGATTGGAAATTGACATTTCAATTAAATATGCTTTCACTATGAATACATTTTTTTAACAATTAGCTTCTCTAGGATATAAATAATTTTACAAAGATTAACAATGCATGTAACTGCTAAATTTTATTCCTGCAGGAGTGTACTAACCATATAACCCAGCTGGATGAGCAGGAGTTGCAGCTATTGAATTCTGCTCCTCCTTTGATAAGACCTAAATAGTAAAGATGACCAAAAGATAAGATATGAGGAGGCTGTGAATAAGCACACCATAAAAATGGTTAATCCTACAAATAGTTGATGCTCACTTCATCGAAACCTGAGCATAATGACACTTCACCTTACATATATATTTACTTTAATTGATCTCTTTCTTTTAAAAGGTATGGGCATTCTATAATTAGATTGAGACTTGGCAAAAGACTTCTTTATCCATAATCCTCTTCTAAAAAGTATAATATAATGTATCTATTTAAACATTAAATTGAATTAGTTACAGGAACGATAAGGACGCCTTTAAATTGAGTTATGTCGCACCAACTACAGACGCTGCTGTCAAAATACTGTCTACATAAAGCTGGGGCCAATATTTAACAAAGGATAACTTACAGGCAGTGCAGTGAAAATACTATTTATGTAAGTCCTGCAAACGAGAAAATTAACTTCTTCTGTCTCCAATGAATCAGTTTTCAGATGAACAACTGGAATGGAACAATTTGAATCAAGAGATGTGCTACTGTCAGGGGATTCATCCGTTGCAATAGAATCGTAGACGTCGGTGTTAGTCAATGAACCCCTCAAACTAAAAGTGCTATGCCTGAAATTGAATATTTGGTATGACTAACAGCAAAAACAATAACCAATCATATTCTTCCAACTGAACATCTTGAATTTTCAAAACTAAAGTAGGGCAAAGCAATCTGCAGTTTTCTTTTTTCAATTCAGAGCATCATCAGGAGAGTAATGAAAAAAATACATCATTTGTGAGTACAATTCTGTTTTATAAGATACAGTTTATAAAATATAATCATTTTTTCGAAGATGAATTTTATGAAACTTATCCAAATCTAGCTTAAAACGTATGTCAAATCACTCCAAACTGTTGTATTGCTTTCCTGAAATACTATTGAATATGAACAAAAGCCCCTAGGGTTTTATGGTTTATAGCACCAGCGAACCAGAATAGTTGAAATTGAACAAAGCCAAAGCTACATTGCTGTATAAGTTTCACTCCAAACTTAGAACCACATCAATGAAATTGCAAACCCAATTATCATCTTTACACAGGAATAAACAGCATAAACTTAATCTGAAAACTCAGCATAATGAAATGATTGACAATTGGCATCAAATATCACAGAATGCAACAAATATCTTCACGGGAATCCATCATTCTCACAAGTAACAAATCACAAAAGGTAACTAAGAAATAAACATAAAATTAACAATGGCAAGGGATACCTGGGAGAAACGAATTGGAACTTCAACCATCGTCGAGTCCGGCGTAACCTAAGACACGACGACGACGACACGGAATGGCCTCGGAGCCACTCAAAGCTTGCCGAAGGCCGACCCTGAGAAACGGCAACCACGCCAATGGCCATAATCCTCCTCTGTCGCCTCTAAAACTAAAACCTAAACCCTCAAGTCCTAACACTACCACCAATAATCCTACTCCTACTTCTCGATTCCTACTCATGCAGCTGATTGATGAAAACGCAGCAAGAAATTTCCCCTCCGGCCACTTTTCAATTTCACTTTCAGTCCTGTTTCCTTGTTCAACACAACTTATGGATATATCTAATCGAAAACTGAAACTGGAGTTCGAGAGTAAGGGATGGGGAGGTTGTGAATTGCGTTCCGGTAGGTTGCGAGCCCAATTTCATTGGTGGATAAGGAAGGGATTCGGTGGGTGGAACTGGAACTTAAGCGGAAACTTGCAAAACCGAAACTCACAAGTGGATCTTCAAGCGGCCATGAATCAGTGGTCTTGACGTGTTAAAATCTCTTCTCTTCTCTTCTCTTCTTGGAATATCATGCCTAAGATTTTTTAAATCCAAGGTTGTGTTTATTACGACGAGGTTTGGAATGTTTTTATTTAAATTTAATATTAAAATAGTGTATAATAATGAGTTTTGTGATTGAAAAAAATTTAATTTTTTCTTTAAGGAAGATCGCACCCAAATATTTATAAATTAGTAACATTACGAGTATTTTTAATATTAAATTATATTTTTTTTCTGGAATATAATTATCTCAGTTTTTTTAAAGTGTCACCTATACTTATATTAAATTTATTTTATTTATAATTTTATTATCTATATCTTAACAAATAACAATATATTTGATTTCTTTTTATTACATCATTTTTACCATATCAAGATAGCATATTATTTAATTTAATTTATATTTATATTTATAATAATATAATTCCTCTGTCTTACCGAAATTGAATCATTTGATTAGAGACACCGTATTTAAGGTAAGATGTTTAATTAATTATGATATTATTTTTTATATAATTAATAATATTTATAGTTTGAAAGTAAATTTAATATATATGGTTAAAAAATCAAAAAATATATTTAAATATGTAAAAATTATATAGCAATTAAAAATATATGTAATATGAATATTATTTTGTAGAAAATAAATTTTTTTATAATATAAGTAAATAAAAAATTATTTTTGTTTATTTATAATTAACATATATCAATTTTATAAAAAATGTGTAGTTTTAAATATAAATAAAAATATTTATTTTTTTGAAGAGAGAAATAGAAATAAAGGGATTTTGAGTGGGTTCTACGGCATTTATAATGTTATATGTTATATAGTTAATTAAGTTGATTTATATTTGTTAAATATAGAAATATGTCAATTGTTACGGGACAGACAAAAATGAAAATAGTATCAATTGTTGTGGTGGAATGGAACGGAGGGAGTATAAAATAAGATTGAATCAAATTCAATTTTTTTCTTAAAACTCATACTGAATCTATAAAATTAAAATCAAATTACTCAATACAAACAGTTAAAATTAAATAGATACTCCCTCCCTTCCGTTTGCTACATAGGATTCTTTCTCTTTTTTTTTTTTTCTTTTATAAATTTAATAATTTTAAAAATATTTAACAGATATAAATTAATTAAATTAAATTTCAAATATTTTATATAATCTCTTTATTTCTATTTATCTTCTTAATTGTTTTAAAACTCTTCTTTTTTTTTTATGAAATTAATTTATATTTGTTGAGTAAAGAACATTCAAAATGAGGGTTTTTGCCAAAGAGGAAAAGGAGTTGGCGACTTGGCAGAAATTTGAACGGATCAAAAGTTGGGCTGAGCGATGGGGCCCAGAAGAGTCATCAAACTGGTTTAGTTAGTTCATTGTTCGAAAAGCTCATCCGACTAGGAATTTTTTGAGCCATAGACTGTTTGGGTTTCTTTTGGCAAAAGATATTTGAAGGTTGTATTCGGTTTGCCAAAGGATGCCAAGAGTGTAAAAAATATGGACCGTTGAATCATTTGCCAACTATTGATCTCCAAACAACGATCAAATCATGGCTATTCAAAGCTTGGGCAATGTATATTATTGGTAAAATTCATCCTGCTTCCTCAAAGCATCATTGTTTCATCTTGGTGGCAACCGACTTTTTCACGAAATGGATTGAAGCGATTCCACTTAAAAATGTGACACAAAAATAGGTAATCAAATTTGTGTTAAATCAAATTATATCGATTTGGGATTCTGCATACTATTATTACCGACTTGGGTTTAGTCTTTATCGGAGAAAAGTTCGTCAAATTCTTGGCTAGCTTTAATATTCGTTACATCATTCTTCACCGTATTACCCATAGGCGAATGGGCAAGCAGAAGCGGCGAATAAGATTGTTATCGATATTGTCAAGAAGATGACTGATGGAAATCCAAGGAAATGGCATACGTTGTTGCCCCAAGCTCTCTTGGCACATCGAAATAGCATGAGTTTGGCCACATGGTTTTCACCGTATCAACTCACATTTGGACATTCAATATTGTCAGCTGAGATTCATGTGTCGACGGTTCGCACAGCCAATACTACTTTGGATATTAAGGAAGGGTCTCAGCAAAGTATGATGCATCAGTTAGAGGATTTGGACATCACTCGATTAAAGGCGGTTGACCATATGGTTAAGAAGAGTGAAGTACGAGCTAGATATTATGGGAATAAAGTTTCTTACAAGACGTTCAAAGAAGGAGATATGGTTTAGAAAACTATTTTTTCAACCTACAAAAAGGTTGATCAGTTGAAGAAGTAGTCTCCTAATTGGGAATGACCTTTTGTACTCTATAAGAAAATTGAGAATGGAGCGTTTATTATTATGGATCAAGAAGGGAAATTAGTACATGACAACATCAATGTCAAGTATCAGAAAATGTATTATCCTGTCTTTTCAAGTCACAAAAGCTAACTATTTTTTCCAAATTATTTTAGAACCCATGAAGAGTTTTAACCTATGAAGGGTTTATTCATCAACAAAAAGGGAGATGCAGGGATGGTTTTCTTTGTCTAATTCAGAATCCTCATCCCAGCTGGTGGACACTAACTCCGGTTTTTCATCCGAAAGATCTTTAAGGTCAGGTCGGGTACCGATCCCATTCATCTTGCAGTTCTTCCAGAACTTGTTCGGTTTAAATTTTCATGTCTTGTAAGGATTGACGCTCTCGGTCCAATAGAATGCACAGTCAAGTGAAAGATGCTATTTGTTGAGAAACACATTGTTCCAACTGAAGTCTCGTGAAATCTCCATGGCATGATGTTCTATCAGATCCATATGGTGGTCGAGGTCAGGTATACGATTGAGAATATCACTAAGTATCTCATATCCAGTGGTGACACGTTCCATTAGACGGATCAAACGATGCATGGTCCTCCTGTCTCTTTGAGAAAATTTGAATTTAAAATCAAGTTACTTGAGTACTTGGATTAGATCTTCAACATGACAACCAATAGGGTGTTGTCCAACAAAGAAATATTGCAATGATTTTTTTTTAGTTGTTGGATGAAACACAAATACGTGATGAAGACATTTTGACGGAAAGTATGAAAGCTAGAGGCACAAACTGTTCAATGCAAGTTATGGTTTAGGTATAATTGGAAGTTTGAGGTTCGGATTTGGTAAAGTGGTCATGGAATTGGCAAGTAAATGGAAGTGATACGTGATCCATGAAGATAGGCAAAATTTTTTAGATTACAAGACTTGATCAAAGTAATTCTACTTTTTCAAAAAAAATAATTTTACAAGTTACAAAAAAGCATCAAGGGCAGCCCGGATATCGGTCCATTTTTGTTTAGACCGGGCCACCCGGAGATTATAAAAGGCTATTTGGTGTTCGTGCATGAGTCTTTAGCAGATGAATGTCTGTAGTTCTTGTGTTAAGTTGGATCAGTTCTGTCGGCATTCATCGATCAAACACCTTTCTTCTTCGATGCATCCATTCATAGCGGCCTACTCTTTCTTCAGTTTCTCTAGTTCTTTTTGGAGACGCTCTAGTTCCCTTTTTCATCTGCTAATGTCCTTATCCAGAAAGATTTGGGCTTGAAGAAGACTTTCCAATCTCGTAGTGGCTTGTTTAAGGTCTTCACCAGTCTTTGACGAAGATGCCTCAATGCTGGTCAGATCGGTTTCAGGTGGAGATTGGAATGGCCTTGCAGATGAAGCTTGAATCAAAGGAAGGTCGGCTTGTAACTTTGTGATTCCTTTCATTGGTGGTGGAGAACTAGAGCGGCGTTTGAACTAACAGGACTTTGGACCAACAGATCAACTATGACTTGAGCCAAAAGTTAAAGTGTTTCATGGCTTAAGTCTGGGAAAGGTAGGGCGGCGCGTTTGGTCACCACTTTTCGGATGATTGTAGAAATTGGAATCAGATAGAGACATCAGGTCGAGTCGGCCCTGTTAAAATTTGGAGATGGTAAGTAAGTTTGAGGTAGATGGGCAGATTAAAATTTTTGAAAAATGCTTACTTGGCCGGAACGGATGTCGAGGTGGACGGAGCAAGGAGTGGGGGCACATGTAGGGGTGGACCTCGGGGCGCCTAGGTACCAACTCCCGACTCTTCTCCTGCAGGAAGACGGTTTGAATTGGTAGCATTTGATTTTGAACCCTGTGAAGAGAAGTGAGTAAGAAGCTTGAACTCTAAGGAGAATAGAAATTTGGAAGTTAGGATTGACTTACCACTTATTCCAAGTCTTGGTTGATGGAAGCCTCCCATGACTAAGATAAGGATATTTTTTCAATGATCACTGGGGGAGCTTCGGGGTGATCGGCCGCTAGAGGATCGGCGACGGCAACTTGTTGATCAGTCGCAGCGTTAGAGGGACCATAGGTCTGCAAGATTCCCCGTCAGGTTAGATAAAAATTAATTAATCTAGAAATAACTGGATGTTGTGAGTGATACTCACTGGGTTCAAAGATGCGTCAGCCGACGTTTTGGGGTACGGCGAGAGAGGAGGAGTCTGCCTCATCGTCTGTTCCTCTTATATACTAATCCTTGGCAATTCCCTCTGACACGCAGTAGGGGTCGGAATCGTTGGTTGGCTGAGCAGGAGTGTGGGTTTCAGTTGTCAGATAAGCAGGTGCTTGAAGGATAAAAGTTGTGTAAGGATGAAGTGTTGGTGTTCAGAAAGGTTAAGTAATGGAATGAGTCAATTACCTGTGCTTCTGGGTTGACAGACTGATCGGCAGCTTGGTCGGTTTGATGGGAAAGCGGGAGGTGGTCACCTATAAGGACGTCCGGGTTAGATAGAAACGCAAAATTAAAATTTTTATGAAAATTTGAAGTAGGTCTAGGCATACCAAAGCCGGGGCGGCAAGAGGCATCGTACATTGGCCGGCATCCAATGTGTATCGATAGGCAGGGAGACTAAGTAGTCCTCCACTACTTGTCAATCTATTGCATCCGATGGTGCAACCTTTATCTGGGCGGCTCATTTCTTTTTCTTTGGGATGCTGAGGCCATCATCGGCGGCAATTGCCTGTTTTCTTTGTGGTTTCG